TAATTCACATAACTCCTGACATCTTACAGAAGGCAGATGTCGGAGAGTGATTTCTAAATTCTGCAATGACTCGGAATTTTGTAGCCGACCACGAAGCCGTGCCATTGGGTCCCTCTGGCCTTGGACGTCGCCTCCAGTTTATACGTGGCAAGCTAAACACAACGTGCAAAACGCTGCGGCTCAACAGCAGAGAAAAGTCTGGATCTTCAGTCAGGCAGGTGTGTGATGGGACACCCTCGGCAATGTCCTCGTCGGCGTCTTGTAGTTGTGGCATTGCTATGTTCCATTCGTGACAATAGATGCTCTCCACTTCTGTTGGCATCTCACTACACTTACTACAAGAACACCACCACTTTTGAAGAGATCTCTGTAGGCACGGGGAGGCCCAATCAGAAAACGAAGGCACCGCAATATTATGGTCCTGCATATACCGAATTTCTCTTTCCATCAATTCCCGATTCGCAGGAGAAACACGATAGAAACGCTGTTTAATCAGCTTTGCGTCCCCCACATCAATATCATGTTCGACCCAATCAGTACGAGAAGGCACATCCCCAAATAATTCAGGAAAACTACGTAATAATTCACATAACTCCTGACATCTTACAGAAGGCAGATTACGAAGAGTGATTTCTAAATTCTGCAATGACTCTGAATTTTGTAGCCGACCACGAAGCACACAATCATCCGGCGAGAGGGTCTCCTCTTCTCCCCCCACTAAGCTACCCCCACCAACAGAGGCTACAGAAAGGGCGGGACGTGAAGGCATCAATTCTGCCGAAAACTTCGTTTCGGTTTCATAATAAGGTTTTAGTATATTTACATGACAACGATACAATAGGCCGTACAACAAGCACTTGATCGCCTGGTTTAAAAACTCGATGCTCAACTGTGACAACAGATGCTCTCCACTTCTGTTGGCATCTCACAACACTTACTACAAGAACACCACCACTTTTGAAGAGATCTCTGTCTCTCTGAGGCTTGAAGACGTGCTGCTGCAGCAGATGCTTCCTCCATCTCTCTGAGTTCTTGATCTGAGTATTCTGGTTCAAATAAATATGGTTGGGCAAAAAAATTCACGTGATCTGTTGATATATCAAAATCGTCTTCCATTGTGATAGATTTTCCTTAGCTCGCTCCCTCACTTGAAAAAGTTGATTCTTAAAACCCAACACATAAGATGCCAAATTTTTAGGAGGTTCAGCAACTTTCCCAGCCTCCTGAAATATGGATAACAAACCACGCACTTTATGGCCGAAAACCAAGTCGTTAGGGCTAAAACCCGTACTTTCCTGCACCACTTCGCATGCCGCTAACATCATCCACGGCAAACCTTCTTCCCAGTCTCTATCCAGCTGCACACAGTACGTGCGAAGCAGTGACTTTAACGACTGGTGGAATCTCTCTAAAGCACCCTGGCTTTGAGCGTGGTAGGAGCGGAGGCCTCTTTTAAAGGGAGCGTCTGATAGAGAGCAGGTGTCTGAGCCGCAGGGTTTAATTTGGATTTGTCTGTACGTTTTTTTTACTCTCATAGATTTTGTTACCATTTCCATGCATTATACGATTGACAGACTGCAACGGTTGGAGTTAAAAATCATAATTTGTGTTCTACTGAAGAAACAAAGTCACCTACATCTTGGATGCCCTGGGGGTAAGCAGATAAACATCACATTTTCATTTTTGGGTGAACTATCATATCATAACATATATATTTGTTATATATATGTTATCATATCATAACATATATATTTTGCCTTAGCATGAAGGTGCAGTTTCACAATACATTAATTACACTTACGAATAACAGTAAAATGCTGCAAATAATTTTTTCTTACACTTGAAATGCGATTTACACCTTTAGAAAGCTTCTCTTGCACATTGCAAATTTAATTTACACTTACAGTCTTATGTAGCCTACACTTCCACAACTCTTACCCTGCGCATGCTAATCTGTATGGCATAATTTTACCTTCATAGTTCAAATATGGGCATCAACACTCACTCTGACAGAGGAACTGTTCACTGGTTATGTTGAGTCGCCTTCAGATCACCATATTCGACAAACTCAGAATGTTACTTTTTTAATTTGTGTTTTGCTCTGTTTAATTATTCTGAATGGATCCATATATATTTATATAGTCAAGTTAAGGCGACTGGCATAGTGGTCTGTTGACATCTTCGTGTGGTCCTGTTTGGCATTGCAGCTTGACTTGTAGTTATTTATATATGTATAGAAAATGCTCTAAATAAATGTAACATTTTTTTTCCTCAGTTTTTGCTGTTGCACTGTATACATAAATTGTGAATTATGAAATATATTTTTTTTTACATTTATCTTGAAAAAAACATGCAGAAAATTTAGTTTTGTGGGAATCAGCCTAAATCTTGAATTGGTAAAACAATTACCTTTATTTAAAATGTTTCAAGTCTTAATACTTTTCCTTTTGTTATACTAGAATAAATCATACTGGGATGTATGCTAAAATTGTTGGATGTGGCGCCCTACCTATACATTTTCCACCAGTGTTGATACATACTGTTCGCCTTTGCTTTTGTTTCCTTGACCCATGTTTTTGGATTAGTGTTTTGGATTTGTTTGCTTGCCTGTGTTTCAACCAAAGCCTGTGACCTGACTATGATTTGTGATTACTGTTTGGTTTATATGCTCAGATCCTTTAATAAAGAGCAGCAAATTTACTCCTCGCAGCCTACCTCGTCAATACAATTTAATACTGTTAAAGTATTTAAACAAATTGTAGAAAATTGTTAAAAAATGTTCCAGATTCAAATGTCTTCATTTATTTATTCTGTTTAAATATACATTACCCGATTAAACCCACCCATACAGAACAGGCTTACTCAATTGTTTAAGTTTGTATTTAGTGCTGCTGTATACTAGACACAGTGCCAAATCAACAGATCAGCTGGGAGTGTTTCGTATATAGTGTGCAATAGAACTTTAAGATTCATCTGTGAAAGAAAAGCTTCTATACTTTATATCTTGAGCAGTGCAACTCTCCGTGTAAATTGAGTGTATACTGTCGATGTGTTTACTGTGTTTAGACTGATGAGATCAAGAGACAGTAGAAATTTTCTCATTAAAGTAGGCCAATGACAGTCTGTTCTGCACATTTCTCAAATTGAAATCAGTTCTCTCAAAATACTTAACACAGCCATCCGTAATTTGTCCTAAATATGCATACATGTAAAGCCATATTCTCAGTTGTCATGATGTCAAATCATATTGATACCTGCTGGGTTAGTAATACACAAAGTAGAACAACCATGACTTTGCTACACGTAAAAAGTTATGTTATGCGTACATATTTAAATACATCGTATTTCTATATGTTCAATAAACATGACTGATTTTCTTAGACAAGAAAACATTCACATTAATACTGAGCAAGGGGTCAAACATTCACATTAATACTGAGCCTCATAATAATGACCTGACATTGTGTGCATTGCATTATAATCATGTAAAAAGCATGAGATTACCAATTCAAATTATAACAGAATCCACATGTCTGCAGGTACATCACAGATACTGATGTAAACAAAACGCCTTGTTTTTACCATTAAAACCTTGAGGTCAGTTTGTTTCATTTGTGATTTCAGATGGCAAAGTATGTCTGCTGCCTACATGTGGCTGTGAGAGGGAACAGGTAGAAGTTAGTCTCTACACTTATTGTATTTCTCCAGAGTGTAATACAAGGGTTTTATATATACACTGAACAAATTGCGTTTATAATTTTGTTCAGTGTATATATATACAGTATATATATGGATAGTTTTACAGTTTATATGCTTTTGTTGCAATCAGCCATAGAGGGAAATGGAGCAATGTATGATAAAAACTAGTCTATCTTAGGTAGTATTCTAGGCAGGAAGGGAATAACAGTAGTCATGCTTAGAAGTGAAGGGAGTCAATCAAATTGAAGAAAACATGCAACTTTACTATTTTTTATGTATTTCTTACCATATAAATATGTGTATTTTATTTATTTATTTTTTTGGTCATGGAATTGCTGTGCTGTGTCTGAAGACTCTCAGTCGGCTGCTAATAAACAGTCAAGCAAGGAGAAATGTGGGCGTCTTTTCTGGTTAATGCTGCATAACAGGTTAATGGAGTCTCAAGTCTGGTGCTCTGATTTGGGGTCGGGTCAATCTCAGATGACTGAGGCACTTGTACCACGATGTCAACCACATTACTTTTATGAAAACCTATATCCCGACATGAATTAAAATGAATTAATTTAGATTGAGGTGGCACAACAACACTTAAACACATTATTTGTCTGATTAAGTGGAGGGGGGGGGAAATCACATAAGAAAACATGTCATCAAAATGATCCACCTAATATGATGTGCCAGTTTATTTCATGTTTGTGTGTCTATTTTAAGTGCAAAGTATTAGTGAAGTTCAGACTTTGCAGGGAGATCCCCTAATCTAGCTTTAATTGAGAAAAAAAAAGTGTTCATTATTCTTTTGCAATCCCTTTTAAACATTAAATTTATTTATTTTAATTATTATTATTATTATTAATTTTGTATTGATTTATTTATTGATTTATTTAGTTTTGTAACATTCGTTGAAAATATAACTATTTGCCTTGTTTGTTTATTACGTTTTGAGACCTATTATGCACAATTACAACACAGTTTGCTGTTTTGGTTTTTAATACAATGTAAAATGTTTTGCATTCTCAGTTATGTTCCATATGGTGAACAGTCGTGTCACTAGCAATTGTGAGACCCCCATACAGGTCATTGCTTTGGACTCCATCTGTTGAGTTGAAATTGTGTTCCAGGCCCCTTTAACTCTGTTCCGCCATTACCCCGTCCGACATCCCTGATAATGAAAACCTAAAGTATTAGAGAACAGTGTGTAATCTCATTATACAATTAACATTCAAAAACAATTACTAGTATTATTTCCATTTTTTCCTAAAAATACAAATAAAACATTTCTTCTGAAAGCCTTGCTATGTGAGTTACACGGAGAAAGGTAAAAGCAGTTTTTTTCCCACATTCATCAAATTTTTCATGGCTTCTATCACAGGCTCCCAGAGGGTGGAACCTTGAGTTAGCTGCTCCAGTGCACTAAAACTGCAGCAAAGATCATTCACAGCTTCCCTGACAATATCCTGAATGTCAGCTATGACTTCTAGAAGCTGTTCAATCCCTTCATCAATCTTCTTCAGTGCATCATTGGTCTGCTTAATGTCATTTTGTTTGGTAGTGATTAATGCTAGGCAAAGAGATACTTTTCTTGAGTACATCTTCACTTGATGGTCAAACTTTTCTTTCTCCTGTTCAGCAGCTCTGATGGCATTTGAAGACTGATTAGATACCCGGATTCCCTCACTGATCATTATTGGACCTAGAGAGGGGAACAGAAAACTGTTGAATACACATAAGTCACAAATGTTCCAATGGTTAAATGCATATATTAAAAAAAAAATGGTTAGATTTGAGGTTCTCAACCTTGGCCTCACCAAAGATGCAGTTGGGTTTGTGATCAATTTATATGAAATATATATTTTTATGAATGCTATAAGAATTATATTTATTTTAGTTAGGTCAATATATTAAATACACATCTTCTGTTACATTTAAACTATTATGTGAAATTTGGTTAATGAATTTATAAATAAAGATACAAGTTATCAGAAGTTGTGGATTTCTTACCAGCAATCCATCCAACAATGGGCAGTGCAAGCAGAGCCCCCCCTGCAACTGCAACACTTTCATTTGTGCTCTTCCTGCCGTTTTCTCTTGTTATGGTCTCTTTGACTGATTGTAGATTTTTTTCTGCCTCCTTCAAAGATACTTTGTAGTTCTTTAATAATTGTTTCATAGATGATAAATTTTCCTTCTTGATGTGTAATTGATCCATGATTGTACTTTTGTCTCTCTGTTGCTGTTCAATATTTTGTTTATATATAATAAGATTCTCCATGTATTTAGCCAAAATTTCATGTTTTGAGCAAGCTTGCTCAATATGCTTCCTGATTTGTTCATTATTGGAGCATGTGTCAGTGGTGGGATCTGCATTCGAGAAAGACTTGCAGATGTTACAGATCGAGGCAATACACTCATTTAGAGGCCCCAAAACTGCCTTCTTATACTGCAGATCCTCAACACTGCAAGGTATGGGAAAGGAGGAAGATAGATAGAAAGACAGATTTGTAAACACGTTTGACTGGAATATGCATATTAATTAACTTTTCACATCATTCATTTGTAATACATACTGTATGTGCAAGTTAGAGAACTTACTCATTGAATTGGTTAATTTGTCCTGTTACATACAAACACAAAGAGATGTATCAATAAATGTTTTGGCAATGAGTCACGGGTCATGTGATGGCAGTAATTATTTAAGAGTATTGTTAGTTAGTTAGTTAGTCCTATTATAGAGAAACCATCATGCGTAATTGAGTGTTACCTGAGTTCTGCAGCATGTAAATTTCCCTGAGAACATCATAACTGACTTCCAGCTGTCTTATCTTCTGCTCCATGTTCTGAATGAGTTGTGAAAGAGATCTAATTTCTGCCTCATGCTGCTCAAACACACATACACAGAGAGAGAGAGAGACGTCAAGTTAACAATATACATAACAGCACATTTGGGCCTACACTGCACGTTATGTACTAGCTTGCTAATATCAAAAACATATGACATGCATATTGATGGACTTGCTAATCAAACTCAGTACAGAGAAGCAATTTGCAAGATTACTAAAATGCACTAAAATGCTAGAAACTAGAAATGGGCTTCCATACTATTCATTTATATGAAATCAAAAATTACACTTTCCCAAATATTTTGAGATTTTAGAGGTCATTGTACTATATAAACATACTGTCAGTTTAAGAACTCAAAATGTCCTTGTTAGTCCAAAAACAGCTTTTATTGAAACCAAGCTGCCACAATGACATGTTCCACTTCCTTTCTTTATGACAGTGGTTCTCAATTCCAGTCCTTGCATACCACCGCTCTGCACATTTTGTATGTATCTCTAATGTCATCAGACATTTGTTCTATTCGACCGTAAGTGCGAATGTTCCACCATGATTCCAGTTCGAAGGGAGCATATATGTTCCAAAGGGCATTAAAGTGTGCAAGACGTGAATGTAAATTGTATTTATTTACATAGATATACTGTGTCACACTTCTCTAGTAAGTTTCATCTGTGTCTGAAGACGCTGCAGGCCATGGTGTAGCACAAATCTGAGAATGAATATTCTGTGTGTAGTAAAGTGAAGTAAACTTCAACAGATTTCCGGAGCATTAGGGAGCAATGAACACTGTGTAGGGACCATGTCAACTGGAACACAATTCATGCATGGAGCTCTCTTCTAACAAGCTGATGATCTGAATCAGGTGTGTTAAATAAGAGAGACATGCACAATATGCAGAGCGGTGGTACGCTAGGACTAGAATTGAGAACCACTGCTTTATGACATCATAGAGACAACCAGGGCTGCCTATACAGACACAGATTAACATCTAGCCTACTACTTCATCTTCACCTCTTTTGCCTGCCCATTGGTTTGCACGTGTAATGGTGGTGAGTAGAAGTGAGAGCATATAGGCAGAGGGTGAACCAACTCCAGAGTAAGGCTAGTAGGTTAATTTTAGTGTAATCTATTAACTACGCACATCATAAACCCGTCTTTTTATGCAAGTACCAGATATGAGTGTCATGTCATTTTTTTTTTAATATACAACATTTTTATTTAACCTGATCACAATTTATTCTAACGCTTTCATTTCCACAGTTATTCAAACAGCGAATAAATTATACACAGAAAGTGAGCAAACAATATTTACATTATCAAATAACATTATCACTGACTTCAGTCTAGTTTGTTTAAGCACTCTCTATAAAAAAAATCTATAAAATTGTATCTTGTAACACTTTAGTACAGGGACCAATATTAGCATGCCAATTATTAACATATTGTCTGTTTATTAGTACTTATGAAGCACATATTCGGCATGACCATATTCTGCATCCCTAATCCTACCCAATACCTAAACGTAACAACAACCTTAAAGGGTTAGTTCACCCCAAAATGAAAATTATGTCATTAATTACTCACCCTCATGTCGTTCCAAACCCGTAAGACCTTCGTTCATCTTCGGTACACAAATTAAGATATTTTTAATGAAATCGGAGAGCTATCTGACCCTCCATAGACAGCAACACAACGGAAATGTCTACGTCTTCCGCCATTTTGGAGAGTACCCAAGAACGTATTGGACGTAATCAGCATTGTTTAGGTTAAGGGGGAAAACGTGCGCATGAATGTAATCTGCGTAATAAGCGTTGTTTACACTTAGGGGAAAGCGTGCGTATGCATTGTAATACTCTCTAAAATGGTGGAAGACGTAACTCGGGGGAGAAGAATGGTTGAGTAAATTATGTTATTTTTGTTTTCTTTACACAAAACAAGTATTCTCGTAGCATCGCAAAACTGAATTTGAGCCACTGATGTCACATGGACTGTTTTACCGATGTATTTACGTTTCTGGACCTGGGAACATTTCAGTTGCTTTGCTGTCTATGGAGGGTCAGATAGCTCTCCGATTTCATCAAAAATATCTTAATTTGTGTTCCGAAGATGAACGAAGGTCTTACAGGTTTGAAACGACATGAGGGTGAGTAATTAATGACATAATTTTCATTTTGGGGTGAACCAACCCTTTAATAACTATTCATGAGCAGCAAATTAGGAGTTTATTGAGGCAAAAGTCATAGTTAATGGTTTGTTAATAGCGAGAATTGGACCTTAAAATAAAGTGTTACCATTGTATCTTAGTAAGATATGTCAACATTTAAACATTTGTGTCAAAATTAAACATTTACATTTTTTTTTTCTTTTTTTTGTTACATTTGTATCGTTACAACCCAATAAATTGTAATCTGGCATTTCTCTGAGTAAATCATGTGACATTTTGCCACATTTGGAGGAGCCTTCAAATTGGGACAGCCTTTGTCATGCCGCAGTGACACAGTCGGTCTTTGAATGCAGCCTTCAAAGGATGCAGCCTCTTTTAAATTACAATTTCAGATAAAGATATTTCAGATAAAGCCAATGTTATTGATGAGGATTTTAAATTATTTTGTGATGAAGACTTACAATTGGAGGAAATTAAAGAGTGTATTGGGAACCTTAAAGATATGATGGACTTGTTAGCAAATTTTATCAAATGTTTCGAGACAAGTTAGCTCCCTTTTTGCTGGCGGTATATATATATATATATATATATATATAGAGAGAGAGAGAGAGAGAGAGAGAGAATCTATTGAAAAGATGGAATTACCCGCTTCTTTAAGACAAAGTGTTATTACACTAATTCAAAAGCCAATCAAAAATATTCTTCATTTAGAGAATTGGAGACCCATTAGTCAATTAATTAATGATGCCAAATTATTTGCCTTAATTTTGCCTAAAGACTGATGGGGGGTGGGGGAGTGGGGGGATTAAAAAATATTATAGATGAGGAACAGACTGGATTTATTCAAGGAAGACATGCTGGTAATAATATAAGATTGATGCTTGACATGGTGGACTATAATGAATATACTTTAGATAATAGTTGTATCTTATTTATTGATTTTCACAAGGCATTTGACACAATGGAACACTTTATTTTTTTTACGCATTGACATTTTTTGGATTTGGTAATTATTTTTTAAAAGCTATCAAAACCATTTACAAGGGCTGTAATAGTTCTGTTAAATGAGCAAGAGGGACTTCTGGCAGATTTGAAACGGGTAGAGGGATCAGACAAGGGTGTCCAATCTTGCCATTTTTTATTTTTGTTAGCAATGGAAATAATGGCTCTTCAAGTTAAGAGAATATATTTTTAAGGCATTACAGCTTCAGGAAAAGAGTTTAAATTTGCAGGTGACACCACATTATATTTGAAAGACAGGAATGAAATCATTGAAGCAGTGAACTGCATTAGAGAGCTTTCAGATGTTTCAGGGCTAAGAATGAATATGGATGTATCAGATCTGCTTCCTCTTGAAGAATGTGTATGGAAGAAAAATAATGGCAAATATCTTTTAAACAAAAAAAGCATATTGAATTGCACTAACTGAAAAAAATAATGCATTGCATTAACAGTGCTTGAATTAATGCCTTGTATTTAGGGGCTGAAATTCAGCATAGTTGTATATTTAAGCTGTGAATATTTCAATTCAAAACATTTCACACACATTTTCATAATTAAAAATTCAATAATCCATATTCACCTTCCAGAGTTCACATCCGAAATATTCAGTTTTGTTTAAAAATACGATTTATAATGTTTGAGAGACAATTTTCAGTCCATTTTATTTCACTTTACAAATTAACTTCCACAAATTCAGTGGTTCAAATTCGGCAGAATATTGGAGAAGAGTCTGGCTGCAGACTTGCACTTGTACTTGCACTCTCAGACACCTGCGCTTCCGAAAGTGACGTCACTTGCAATCTTTTTTTATTTTTTATTTTATTTAATTCATTTTTTGTATTTTTTTTTTATTGAATATCTCAACATTTTACACAAGTAGCCAGGTAGTGAAGACAAGAAAAAAGGAACAAAATTACAATGTCACTTGCAATCGCCACCTGCACTCTCTGATACCTGCGACGTCACTTGCAATCGACACAAATCGTGCGTATTGCCAATGGAGACAAGAAGCTGTGGTGATTAAACGATTAAAACTAATTTAGTACCATAACGTACAGGGTCCTGCAAGTCACCTGTAGGAGAAAAAGACAAGACCCACAAATCTGTGGCCACAGAAGAGCAGAATATGAACACATTGCGCAAAGTCTCTCGTTAAGCTCACATTCTTTCTTACCTGCCTCACAGTCACACTGATGGGCCATTAGGGGAGGGCCCTTTGTCTCTCAGGTGTGAATCACTAAATATTCATGGTCATTGTCACTCCCTTGCATACAACCTTTCTAACACAAAACGTGTCTTACAAAACTTAAATCAATATATTGTTTTCTGTGAATGAGCGGGCAGGATGATTTTCACATAATTATGTAGCAAAAACTCTAGTCTACCACATCCAGTTATCAAAAGTATTGTGAACAAATGTCCTGTATGTGTTTTATGGCCTTTTTTCAGTGACTTACACATTTTAGTTTTTTACTAACCACACATAAACGTTGTTTTCTCAAAAACACAAACATGTACATCCATGTTGCTTACAGATTATTGTAGCCCAGTTTGTGCTGAATACAGTGTAATCAGACTTTAGACATTAATATGTTTTTAAGATACTGAAAAAAACACACAAATGTCAGGGCATGTCAAAACTTCTCTAGGACCCCAAAAACCCCTCAGACCCCAGAGGGTTAACTTGATAATTGTCATTTTCTTCAATTATCTAATTATTAGAACAACTTAAATGCAGAGCTTGTAAAAAGTGTTTGTTTCAGCCAGTTGAAGGCATGGTCCAAGTGCATGTGTGCACAGATCAGGGCTGCGTTTCCCGAAAACCTTCTTAACGCTACGTCATTCGTAAGTTATACCTTAAGTTGTACCTTTACG